ATTCCGTACATTATTTAGTAATCGCGTGCTGCCCAAATATCCAATGTTTGGCGATTGATGTGTAGATACACTTTTGTCATTTGGCCGTGTCAAACATTAAAATGTTTTTCCATAGCGTCCTCAAATGGACCTTCATTACTGCCCAGTAATGGACTAAGGCCATTTTAATTTCACCCAGTGCAACCCACTTTCTGTCTTCGTATCTGATCGAAGCGTGATGGATGAAATGTCTCTATGTTTTCTCTTAGGCCTGTTTACGCTATTGATTTTTATTTAAGGACAATATTTGATATAGCACCGTCACACACTTTGCGCGTGTACTACCTGGTTTAAAACATGAAATGTATTAGTTGTAGTTAGGGCCTGACATTCCGAATGCTATGCAGCTGTCGGGCTATACTTGGTTAAATAAATCGTAAATCAGTTTAATACATTTCGCGTTTTGAAGCTGAATTAAAAAGTGTTTTAAATATTTGACATAATTAAAAAAAACTAACCAACACTTAACGTAACACTTTCATTTCTATGTTTTGTTCATTGCGTAATTTAAAATGTCTTTCCTTTTGCATGTAGCAAACACATGATTCTGTTTCACTAAGTCTCTGTATAACCTTAGCTTATCAATAAAAATGTTTAAGCAATTTCCCAGGATTCAAACCCCATGCATTACCTGTATGCCTAACATGATGTAGCCGTTTCGTTAATTGGTTACAGGAAAAAAATTGCCAAAAAACAAAGAGATATAGGTGATGATAAGGACTACACATTAGGGCCTAACAATGCACACACAAGGTGTTCATTGTCTGCTTTTGAATGAGTATTGTTTTGGTTTCCTAAATATGTTATTCAGTTCATAAGAGCTAAGGACCGTTACCCAAAGAATGGTGATAAGGAAAAGAAAGCTTGCGCAAACTAACGGAGAAAGGTTCAGCAATAAAGGCGGCGTCTTTGCAAGGGATGATATGAAATGTCGGCATCTTTGTTTAAGCGCCATTGCTTAGAACTTTAACCGTTGTTAGAGGTTTATTAGCAGGAAACTGGCAATTGTTAGGGTATCTCCGTTCACCCCTTCGTCTACACTTTGTGTGTACATTTCACTAAGTACTATGTATAGGCAAATATTTTTAAATAAATTATAAATCAGACAGTCGAAAGCTGCGAATACAAATAAACTATATTATTTATTCTCATTATGTTCGTTAATATTAACCAGTAATACATATTGTCTGTAGTTTGTTTTGCCTGTATTCTGAAGTTTAGTACCTATCTTACATTATATAAAACAGTTTTATTATTTAGTAAATAAATTTATTTGCTTAAGCATTTCCACTCTAAACGTCGGACCGTAGTTAATTTGTAAATCAATTTAACTAATAAATTTCGCGTTTAAAACCATTAAAAGTGTTATTTATTGCGTACTACTCGCGTTTAATGTCAACATTTCGGTTAGTTATCCTTTGTAGCCCTATTTTTTGTATTTCAAGAAAACGTGACATTTCAACCATTACACTAAAAGGTAATGTTATCATCCATATTATAATAGTGGCTGTGAAACATTATCGCTTTTATAAATGGGATTTCAACGGACAGACAGACTTATCTACTGGAGTACGTTCATCATTAGTACCCTAAAACATAGAAATGTTGTTTGTATGTTCAGTTAAGCTAATACGTTGTAGCTTCGATTACCACGACATGTTATACCTAAATCAGTTATTGTCATGAAAACGAGGTTTAGAAGTATCAAAATGTCCGTCCAGGTTACAAATTTTAGGGTAAATTCGCGTTTTGGTTTCAATTTGTGACTTTCCCAATGTCTTTTGCGAAAATAAGTAGGCAATGCATCCTAATTACTTAGCTAGGAGCTAGCAGCTAACCATCTTTCACCAAGTTGCTTGTCATTCTTCAGTTATAAAAAATAATTATCAATTGTACCGTTAAGGTCTTTTAAACGTCAAAATACAAGTTGTTCAAAAGAAAGAATACTGCGCAACCCTTTCCACACATTTTCTGCGGATAATGGCGCGATTTTTATTATTTTACAATGCACCTCAAATCGCATAACTCCGCAAAGGAACCGACTAAGTCCGCATTGCGAGGAATAAAAGGACGCAATAAAAACAAACGGAAAGGGTTTACAAAATGCAGAAAATTACGCAATGGCCAGTTTATGGTGTTGTCAAAAGCGAGGGACAAAAAATTCGACTTCGCAGGTATGAAAAAGTGGCGCGTAGACGTCTGTGCCAGCACAAATGTACAAGTAGTAATTTTGAATGCAAATCGGTGCGGTTTTTTGCTCTTTATTAGAGTAACAATTACAGTGTTGTAAGGAGATTAAGCTACCGAGTTTTATTGCAGTATAGTTTACTTGCGGTTCCAATTGTATCTATAATTTCTTTTTTAATGGCTAGGACATTGATTACTACACCCTACCTATGTCAAATGTCTATCTCAAGTATTCATTTAAAATTCAAATGTACTTATGTGCATTCTTATCAACAATGAATTCTGAAAAATTAAAATATTGTCTGTAGCTAACGCGAGTAGTACACATTTAATTGGATACATTGGGCCGTAATTAAAATATTTTTTAAATAAGTTGAACGTAATACGCGTTCTAAACCTACCTACTTTACCTACAATGTAAACTAACTCAATAAAATGCCAGATAAAAAAGTTTTGAATTGTCAGAAAACTAAATGAGACTAAATAGATAATACCAGATGATCGCGAGGCATAAGTTTTTTACTTTGCTATAACGTCGGCTGCCAACCGTGGCGAGGGCGCGCGCGCAGCACTCACACATAGGCACTCACCCCTACATCCGCACGAAGTTAGACACGAATATTGCTCGCTATGCTAATGCAGCGGAGATTGGGTCGTTGCCCGCGATCCCGGACGCTAGAAACTCATTCGGCAGAAGCTTCGTCCACCCTCGCTTCGCCCTTACATTGTCTCCATTTTTATCAATTCGGAGACGTTAATATTCTTCACTATCAAACGCATCGGGAGTTCTATCATCTTTGTTTAAATGTATTCCACGATCTAAATATTGCAGTTTATTGACGCAAACATGTTTAGGCCGTTGGTATAATTGTAGCAATAATCAACGGGTCGTGGATTCGATCCCCACCGAGTCCAACATTTTCTAATCAATTTACAATTATAATGTTTCTAAAACAAGTTGGACTTTGTCTAGAAATCTGGACAATAAATTGGTAGTGGTAAATATTGAAATTCCGTCTGGATCACGGACCACCAATGAAATTTAATCTCCTCTCAGTTTCCGTCTGTGGGTCTCCGAATATCCAAAGCCAAAATAGTTCAACGGAACATCTTCTTTAGATGTTATATGGCTGGGGGTTTCACCTACCAACCATAGAACACCGTGGTCCTCTCTCTTCCTCTTTAATATTAATTATCGTTAATTAACTAATATATCGCGTTTTAAACCGTTAAAGTGTTTGATTTAAATACCCATTATCTCTAGTTGATTATACTCTCTTTATTTATAAAAACATAAAACAGAAAAAAGAAGGAAAGAAAGAAAGAAGATATAAAAACAGAAGTTTTAGTATCTCTAGGTTTTTGGTATTAGATCAGCGGCTGAGACCGATTGAAATACTAAAGTGCATAGATATAATATTTATGAATAAATTAGGTTGATATTGGGCGTATCCACTCGCTGGAGTGTGGACAGTGACCTTGAATGCAACATGGGAGGGGAATGCCATTAGGCGATAAAGTCCATGCTCCATGCTTTTTAAAACTTTGTCATATTACGAACAAAGGAGATGTCACTACACAATAAATAGGAAAGTGATGGCGTCAATATTAGAAATTTCAAATGTATTTCTTTCTGGTATCACGGTAGCAATGTATGGCTAATAATCAACGTGAGTTCGATTCCCACAGCTTCCAACATGTTTTTAATCAAATAAACTGTATAAGGTTTATACGTCCATCGTTCAGCATATAATCGTCATCGTTAAGTTAGAGGTTCTCAACGCTTAAGTCGGCTGAACAGCCGTTTGACTTCCTCTGGTAATCTGGATATTGAATGGGTGGTAACATACCACCGTCCACAGAAGAAAGCCGCCAAGTATAAACGCGTTGTAGTCTGTGGATTTTCGAATATCATGAGAAAATATAAGATTTGCCTATAAATAATTAAAGCAAACATAGGAAACTGTCTCGTGTATACAACATACAATTTTACATAATAAGAATATCACGTTATGAGTGAGTACACATTCATCAGTACCAGTGTATAAAAAGATGCATACAGTGTCACTTGTGAAAGTGCATCGGCAGCAACCTTGAAGGTGGGCTTTCCCTCGTCCATCAAACACAGCAGCGCTCTCACCATTTTTACTAAACGCACATTATACAATCAAGCGGACACTTATCATACTTTATTAAGCTATGGTTTAAATTTCTACGTATTATCGGATCAGCTCGTAATGGATGGGTCTCATGGTATCTGCTGGTTATTAACGGTGTCCCAGAAAATATTTTTTTTGTCCTTCTCTATAGAAACATAACTGAGACCTTTGTTCTCGGAGATCCTATTTTGACAACATACAAATTGATCTGGTGTGGTGTAGTATCATTACCTATATAACTATCTTTTGAATACGTTAGATTTCAAATAATATAAGAATACAATAGAATTACAATCGACAATATAGAGGGAACGTCGGTGTCAAATCTTAGCGTACCTAGTAATATAAAAACTTTATGGATATATTCGTTTGTATACTTGCTTATTTTTCACACTTTTTCAGAACTTGTACAATTTATATATGTATATACTTATATTTATGATTAAATTGATTTCGTAATTATAGATAAGTAATATACTTACACTTGCAAAATTTAAAATTAAAACTCATTACTTTAAAAAAGGCCTGTCTTAAAAATTATACGACAAAGGGTTATTGTATTGCACTTATAAGGAGTTGATAGGCGGGTCTTGGAGATATAAGCCAGGGTTTGTCATGGCGGCTGGCGGGGAGTGCGGAGGCGGGGGCGGGCGTGGCGAGCGTCCAAGCTGTTATTTCGGTATGCACATTGCATGCAGCGCGGCACATCGTGCACTTGCCACTCGAAATAGTCAGGTCAGGGACCGCGAGCTTCGCCTCGATCCTTCCCCAAGGTCAAGACTCGTCCCCTCTCCCCTACTCGCCGCGTCTATGTCACCTCTTCCACCATTCTATCGGTTATTGGGCCTTTTGATTGAAATTTAAGTAATACAGCTATGAAAGAAATAATTGAGGACAGGAGATACAAAAATTTATATTTGAAAACTGTGTTTTCCGAAATATTATTGTAGCCCAAATTAATATGCGGTTATAGCAATATTCACAATCGAATCGCTTCGTTATCTCTACTAATGTGCAAACGTGACCCGTTCATTGATTACTTATAATTGCTTCTTAATTGCGAATACTCCATTAGACATCGCGAGATAACAGTGCTGTGCGCATCGGCAATTAGCTCCACGAATTTGCGATAAGACAGATTTTCTTCTCATCGATTGCCGAAACAAAAGGTATTATTTCTCAGAATGCGTATATTAATTGCGTGTCACACCCTGTATGGCGCAATCCGTGCATTGACAATTGACTTACGTTAATTGTCAGTTAAACCTCGAAAAGTCGCCATTTTGCATTAAATTAACAAGTACTATAAAACCTTCTTTTATAAAAAATTTGGTAAATTTTAAATGATAAAATGGCTTTATTTACGTTATTGGCTCATAAATGCTAATTACTAAGAGTGTTGAACAGAAATTTCGACCAACTTATTTGCCCTAAAAACCGGACATGTTGGTAGTTGGTAGCGTTCACCCTCGCTTTAGCCACCGCAGCCAAATTTCCAGTAATTTTTATGGCTTCTTTCCTTAGTCATCGACACTATATGTCCCTGTGATACTCAATACTCAGTTACTAACTGCTTATGGCCAGAATTATAAAATATATATTTTTTTTAATTTTTGAAAGTGTCACTTTCCATAAGTGTTAACAGTAGTCTCATACATTTTCTTGTATATGTATCGAGTGCTATTGTAAGGAGATATGTAAAAATTATGCATATCTATTTACATTTATTGTAAATTATCTTAAATAAACAGCTACCAAGTGTTGTTTGCTGAAAATATTTACTTCTAATGACCTTCCGTAACTTCAACGAGGCCAAACGATCGCAGCAAATAAAATTTCATCCGCCGGTCACGTATTCATTTGAATGTTTCCTTATAAAATTCGGAGTCAGATAAGCGGGCCGCGGAGTCAAGGCATCTCTGTAATGGCGAGGACATTGCACTTCTGGTCCCCTCCCCCGCTGCTCCGCGGTTTGGTCCTTCCCCTGGTGCAACTTGCCAGCCATTATATAACCGGATTCTTCCATTTAGTCGCCCTGTGCTTGATTCGTTAAAAAGAGTCGTATTTGAGACACATAAGCCTTTGTAAATATGCAAATAATAAGTAGTTATATACGTCCACAGATTATATTAAAGCTGTTGCTAATAATAATAATTCAACAGATAACATTTCAATTACAATATAGTAAACATTTTTATATGAGTCACAGATAATAATTAAAAACTCTTTCTCTAATCTCCATCGATATGTATTCAAAGGAATGTTATAAAAATATCATGAAATTACTTACAAATAACGATTTAAATAGGTCCGAACATTGAAATTACGTCAAAACTTTGTGTTACGGGTTACGAAAACAAATATTTGCCTACATTTAAAGTTACTTTATTTTTACTAAACATACTATTTACCTACTTATTATTTATATTAGATAATACTGCATTGAACAAAAAAGGAACAGATTATATTACTAAGATGAGAGGCCGTAAAATTAAAGGCCTGCGCTATATCATCTTAATTTTACACCCACAAAACCCAGTACTTCCCGTTATTCGTAGCTACATTTTATACATATACAGTGCATATCTTATGTATTGTATACGTTGAAATTGTGAAGTAACGTTAGCATAAAATAACCCGCTAAAGTTTACTACACAATATTAATACTTATATGACGTACCTTAGTCATATTTGGTATTTACAATACCACTATAATTTTTAAACGGTGAATTTCATTATAGAAGTTTGTGTCAAAATTATCTATCTACCATGACATTGTATATCACAATTCAAACACACGTAGAAACAATAGAATATCAAATGCTTAATAGACTACTAAATACAATTAAAAAAGCGACAATTTACCATTTAAAAAATATTAAATAGTAATTTTTTTGCTGTTTGTACCCAAAGCATCGAGCGGGCCTGCCTCAACATGCAGCGCATTCACCGTCCACGCGGTTCATGCATCCCGCACTCCCGCGCCGCTCTGACACGCTCTATAGTCTATGACGTCGCTTCCTGACGATGCTTCGGAAATAATAAACAAACTCAAAACTGGACAATCACGTCAACACTAATATTTAATTATGAATACAGCTGCAGCTAAATATTTAATCTAAGTGTTGTATGAAAATGTTTACGCGAGTGTATAAAAAAAACCTCTATTTAAAAGTTTAAAACGCATGTATTATTATTTAATTTTGACAACAATCTGATAGTTCTTAAATTGTTTTTGTATTTCTAATTATTGACATTGTAAGACGCAAACTTCACATTTTATTATAATTTTTAAATTAAAATATTATAAAGCAAAAAAGTGATCCAACAAAAGTTTTTTCTTTCTCATAACGTACCTACATCATTTCTTAGTGTTAAAATCTTTATAGGTTTAGAAATAAGTACCTCTATTCATATTTAGAGATAAGTAAGGACTTGTTTGTGAGTGTTATTAATAATCGAAAAACATTTCAATTCACAATTTAAATTAACTATAATTTATTTAAAAAATTACTTATGAATAAATAAACATAATTAAAGAATGAGAGGAAATGGCAAGAAATTCGCTACCGCTCTCTTTATCCTCGAGTTGGTTGAACAAAAGTCTTCCTGTACCTGAGATATGGTAGAAAGTATGTGGTTTATGATATATATATTACAATACCACCAGTTATTGAAGATTCCAAAAAACATACCAGTTCGTATCGCGCGAATAGACAAACATTAATAATGCGCACAAGTCCAACATTATCGCTAAATGAACTTTAGCCATAGACCTAGGACAACTTCCGACCATGTTTGTGAAGTTGATAATGTTATCGTTCTATGCAAATTGCCCTCTGAATGGCCAAATGGCTAATTCAACATAATATTTACTTGGCAAGCAGAAATAAACAATTAATGTCACTCCTTATCTTAGGATTGCTCTACTTTCTGCGTAAATTCGAAACAATTACAAACGACAGTACCTTACAGTGCAAGTGGCATTTACAATCTCTACTGCTGTACTATACTGTACTGTACTGTAATTATAGATGTCAGTTTTATAAAATTTGCATCATTATTAACTTAGATGTAGTTTGGTGATTGTAAACTCCCGTAAGTTAATTAATTAGGTATAAGTTTTAGATTGTGGCCAATTTTTAACTTCTAATCTAATTTAAAGACTAGAATTTTCTTATTTCTAGTTTAAACTAAGAGAGTATAACAAACAAAAAAATCGACTGTTTTCAAAACAAATAAGCCTTCACAACCTACTAAATTCTCGTTAAATATTGAAGAAGTAATTAATACCGTCCTTTTCGTAGAACTTTGTCGAAGGGATAAAAAGAGTTCAATTATATTTAGCAACCACCCCTGTAATTACAGCGAAGGTTTCCTTAATTACAGCTTCCAATAAAAAGATCGGAGCTTCCTACTTCCCACGTACCCCGGGCGAAGCGAACATGTAACATGTGCGCGATGCGGCTTATTATTACACGACGGTAAATTTTATATAAATACAGATCCACGGATATAGAACTAAGTAAATTTAGACACGTAGTGGTGTAATAAACTCATCATAAAGTAGTTAGAGATGATAGATAAAACACTTTGTACCTGAAATATATTAGGCAAACTAATTTTCCGTTTATTTGAACTACTATCGCCGACTCTTATATATTTGTTCTACCTAATGTACCTACTGACAATAATTACTTTGAAACGGTAAAAACTAGTGACTTGTGTGACTCGGTGACTCTGTAGCTCAATTGGTTAGAGCCTGTTCAAGTCCTGCCCGAATCGAGTATTTTTTTTTTCAATTTATAATCGTTTTTTATTTATACGGTATAAACTAGTCAATTTTTAAATACAACCCGACGTTTCAGATGTTTTACAGCAGCAAGCACGAGGTAGGTACGGCAGACAACAAAAATATGGTGAGAATTTTAACCGTTTAAAAATGTTTTACTTAATGTATTCTACTTGCAAAAATTTAAATATACATTTTACGTACTTATCAGCATATTGTACGAAAACCTTTTTTTTAAATTTTAAAGTACCTACGCGTCGCCCCTTTATCTGTTTTTTTACTTTATTACAAACAATGTATTTCTTTATTAACACTGTTTTTATCGGCATCGTTGCAAAACTCTAAATTGAACCCTCCATTAAAGTTTTGCTTTATCTAAAGTGTTTGTAAGTCTACGAAATTATATTCATTTGATAAAATGATATAAAAAGTCACTGTTCCGCCTTTAGACGACCTGCGACACGAGTTATTTCAGGCGAGACACCTCCGTCTTAGACTTTTTAATTGATCACGACTTACATTACAGGAATAGGGATTAAATTACGAAATAAAAACATTTTTATGGTTTAAAACATGAAATATTACTTTATAGGCACTAACATCTTGATGACCTCGTTGGTCTAATAATTGCTAGCAAAATGTGGCTAATAATCGCGGGTCACGGCTTTCTAAACAATGTACGATTTTTCTTATAGAATTAAGTAGGTGGTAGGAATATTGAAATTCCGTCCGGGTCTTGTTGAGATGTTAGAGACCCTATTCTTATCTGCCCTCTTCTATTATAAAAAGAAATCATAACTAACAATGTGAAGTTTTATCTAATGGGTAGGTACAATTTGCGTGATAAGTCGTATAGTCGATAGTCGTACAGTCGTATTTATAATGTGATTATAATAATATAATATATTTTAAATTATGTATATCTAAATACCTATTGTGTAGTACCTTTAGTATGAACATTAAAAAAATGCTAATAAGAATAGTTAACATAGAGTTGTAAAAATTATATATATTATTACTTGTTCTGTTTAGCACTTTTCAAAATAGACTTCTTGATAAATTGTTATATTAT